AAATAAATAGGTTATGCTGCGTTCCGACATGTTTTGTAAATCTTTACTCTAATATACACGTTTTATCGGCATAGAGGAAATACCAATTTTGCATTAAAGATATTGTCAATGAAATCTTGTAAAACGAACCAGACGAGTGTGACACCACAGACTGTTTGTGTCTATATAATATGCTATATAATTGCCAAACCCTACCTAATTTGCATAATTTGCATTTTTTTTAAATATCAAAACCCCTAGCCCTTATTCATTCACATACCAAAAATGAGCAAAATCCGTTAAACCTGAACTGACTAATGGCAATTCCCATTTTTGCCAAAAAATTGCCGTGGCTCGAAAGTACGTCGACTGGCGTGCTTCAAAATAGGACGTTTCATATGGGAGCATAGCAGTAACAACTATACCCAACTTCAAACATGTGGGCCAAACGGTTCCTGAGTTATCGTTGACCGAAGCGAAATGTTGACGGACGGACGGACGGACGTACGACGGACGCCGGCCCATGGCAATAGCTCAGCTTGACGATGTCAAGGTGAGCTAAAAATGCGGTGTAGGAAATATGAAGCGTCGTTTCCCGGGGAGGGGGGTCACTATATATGCCGGTATTACCCCATGTGCGTTCTCACTAAAAATAATAGGCCCCCTAGTGCGAACTGCACATTGGAAAACCCTAACCCTATTGCAGACACAATTGAAGAATATCACCCCCCCTATTGCATACACAATGAAAGAGTCCTACCCGGACCCTTTTTTCTCATTGTTTGACGTCTAACATTCTTCTTCTTCTTCTTCTTTCAGTAAAGTTTAGTACTGTACATACACCATCTTCGCACTGCTTCCGAGTACTGTATATGGAATAAAAGCACAAGTTTACCTGCGATAGTATCAAATTTTATAGCGCACTCTTGCTGCCGCTGTAAGTCAGTACGAGGACGAAACATACGTCACTGCCTATTTCGTTTTGATTGATACAATATATATCGCCCTACTTATATACTCACACATGCATTTCTACAGGCCCCTGAAAGTCTTCACGATCACATTTCACGCAAGAGAACGCCCCTTCTTGTTTACTTGTTACGAGTTGTACTTCCCTCCAAAAACAAATGCAGATATATATGCAGCAAAAGCCATCAACCAAATATTCATTAAGCCTTTGTCATATGTGTATGTACTTTTACGTTTAAAAGTCTCACGTTTTAACTGTCTTTGCAAGTATACATGTTCGCTCGTCTTTGTAATTTAACAGTTTTTTGCACACATTGTATAAGATTTTTTACCCGTCTCTGACACCCTTTTCAAAAACCCCATTTGTATACGTAATGACGCTTTCAATGAAGACTATATTTAGACTAGCGAGTAAAATCCATATACCTCATAGATATTTATTTCCTTCACATCAAACACAACACATACGCAATAGGTTTACATGACCCACTGAAACCTTCCTTAGCACTTACATACACCAGCTCTGCTCAGGTAAATCCACTCGCATGCCCACGGATTGCTGTACCGAGCTTTGACACGATTCACTAGAGCACCCAGTTACGTGCGTGTTTTACGAAGTGGTAGGATTCGCGGCGTGTTCATCTAGCTCTACCGCGGTAACCCCTTGGCTCTCGCTACAGGGCTACACCGTTAGCGCTGCAAATTAGGCCCACCTGACCTCTGTTTGACCTGGCTCGTTTAGCTATTTCTGACTAATATATATATATATATATAATACATAATATATATATAGGGTTAGGGTTAGGGTTAGGGTTAGGGTTAGTCAGAAATAGCTAAACGAGCCAGGTCAAACAGAGGTCAGGGGGACATAGACCCTACGAGCGTTAGTGCTAGTATTCACCATACTAATAAGAGATGCAAGATAAAGGTCATGTCAAATACCATTAAAATTACCCATCCCCGCAAAAAATCGCCGCCTAACGTGGTGTCAAAACTTGGCAGCGTAATTTCCTCTATACAGCGTGGAAGGAACTTGTGCTTGTGCTGGGAGGGCTGTGGCAACACTGGTTGAAAAGAAGCCGATCACACCTGTCACCTGTCACTGGTCTACATGTACAACTAAAAGTCAAACCCGGCACCACACCGCAATCATGTACAACCCGTTTGCCCCGGACCACTGTGTGTAAACGAGATGAATCACTCCTCACGCAATGGCACAGGGACAGTCATCAGATTACGCACACGCAGCATAAGCAACTAGCAACTAAGTAATGCAGCACTCTTGCCTACGCAGGGTGCGTAGCTGGGGGCATTAACATGTACCGACTGCATATAGTGAGATCCAGTTACGGACCAAGTCAGGCGCACACAACAGGTACAGAGAGAGAGCGAGAGCGAGAGAGAGAGAGAGAGAGAGAGAAAGAGAAAGAGAAAGAGAAAGAGAAAAAGAAAAAGAGAGAGAGAGAGAGAGAGAGAGAGAGAGAGAGAGAGCGTGAGTGAGAGCTTGGCTACAACAATTTTATTTTTTTCGCAAGACTAGCTAACGCTTATCAGGAACCGCAGCGATTTCACGCAGATAAATGTGTGATACTCTCTCCGGCTGCTATAGAGAGAAGGCAATTGTTGCCGATATGTAGACCAAGGGCATTCAGAGTCCATGTCGTTATCGAGCAGGAGTAGTACCAGGATCCCATGACCGCCAATCACTGAGGTTAGACCGAGCAATTCTTCAGATGCCAATTGTGAGAAAAAGCTGCGTGACACTTGCACCGCTATCTCATCGCCTGCTGCTCCAACCAAGTCCTGGTTCCAAATCCTGGTCACTTTTTCTCGGTGGTACCATTGTATCGTGCCTATTGAGTCAGTCACTAATCTTCCAGGAAGAAATAGTTACCAGTCCTCTTTTGATCCGCATCCTAAACGAATTAACCACAATAATGAATCGAGATTTGGTTAAGGTCATTTAAATAAGTATAACATGCATTATTCATTAGAATTATTCACATCTCAACAGACACTGCTGTATTTAAGATTCACATGTAGACCTTTTTAAGGAAGGTTTCCGAACAGCGTAGCCATACATTAGCATCTACATTAGAAGTATGACAACTCACCTTCACAGAGTTCAGTTTGTTGATTCTTGGTCTAAAGTTGTTGGGGTCCCTTCTAAATGTGATGGCCAAGCTTTGCAAGAACTTATTCATGCCTATCAGCAGTGACTCCGGACTAAACAACAAACACGCAACGATGGTAACAAATGAAAGTGTCAATGACGCTATAGCTCACCATTATATACCATATCTCCCATTATATACTCTTGATAATTATATATGCGTAATAGGAGAAGAGTATGACAGCGTTTTAACAGCGTTTTGCATAGTTTTCAACTTGCAAATATTCTATCAATATGTGAATAAATATATTCAAACATTACCTTATTTTCGTCTATGAGTCTCCCTTAATCATATGACACCACCAATTTACCTGAAAATCGTATGTGTTCTTCAAAAAAGTTATTTGAATACGACACAGTTTCAAACAGTTTCCACGAATGGCAGCATGTGTTAGGCGAAAGTTTAGTATGGGATTAGTGTTCTATTGTCTCTATCTTGTATCTTGATTACAACATGGTGCTGCCGCCACATATCAACTTTGGTCGAACTTTCGCCTAACCGTGTCGTATTCAAAGACCTTTTTTAAGAACACATACGATTTTCAGGTAAATTTGTGGTGTCATATGATTAAGGGAAACTCATAGACGAAAATAAGTGAAAGTTTGAATATATTTATTCACATATTGATAGAATATTTACAAGTTGAAAACTATGCAAAACGCTATTAAAACGGTGTCATACTCTTCTCCTATTATGTACTCTTGGTAATATTTGATGCGAAAATAAATGTTTCAAATCTGAAAGTCTGAAATCTGGGCGACAGATGGCGCTACACCTAAATGATCGCCATTTTGGTTTTCGATTATCGCGCAAAGAAAAACAAAATATTCCAGTCAAATTACTGTAACCAAAAATCTAAAACACAATATTACACGTAGGTATGATTGTAGAGTTGTTAAGCAGTTAGATTGACATTTTTCTGTTATTTTGGTCAAAGGTACGAGTGGGTAGTACGCAACCACAAGTTATCTTCTCGAATCTCGCATCTCGCTACCCCCCCAAAAAAAACTGCAGCAAACACGCAGTTTAGAATGACTCAAAAGAAAGTTGAAATAATCTACCTAATTTGCATAATAAAAACCGTGTGATATGTTTTGGGGCAAGTCCTTATTCATTCACATACCAAAATGAGCAAAATCCGTTGAACCTGAACTAACTTATGGCATTTTCATTTTTGCCAAAAAGTGGGTGTGGCTCGAAAGTAAGTCGACTGGCATGCTCCAAAATAGGACGTTCATACCTCTCCCATAGGAGTAACAACTGCATGCAATTTGAAACATGTGGGTCAAAACGGTTCTTGAGTTATCGTTGACCGTAGGCAGACACTGTAATGCATCAATAGTGAAATTGCCCAAATCTACCTAATTTGCATAATTAAAAAAAAAATCAAAACCCCTGTGATATGTTTTGGGGCCAGTCCTTATTCATTCACTTCACCATTTAGTGATTTTGGTGTCTATGACCAGGTATTGTGAGTCGTAGATTTCATTTCTGTCTTTACCTAAAACATTGAACACACATTTGATAAAAATAAATCCAAGATGGCCGTTAAAATGCAAGATGGCCACCAAAATTGTTGTTTTCAAGCTCGTATAGCAATTAGAACAGTTATTTCAACTAGTCAAAGATTCTTTATTCACCTAAATATAGTTATTACTATAGTTATTCTGTGCTAGTAAGTAATTATTACCAGGAAAAAATGTGTGTATCGGCATCGTACGTGTCTATGGACCTCATCCACCTACGACAGAACTTCCTAGCATTAATAAACTGAAACAAAGATTAGTCAACATTGAACACGAAGATCTGGAAGTCTATGTAGCTAGTGCACGTGTAGGTCCACAGCCTCTACCAACCAGTGAGAACCACATCCAGGAAGCACAAGAGTCTGCTCAAGTCGCCTGTAACAAGAACCTGGTATGGATTCTAGCAAGACAAACAACATCAGAGAGTCAGACAATCCCAAATTGGACTGGGTTTAATATCAAAACCAGGGGCCAAGAATCAATCTCAGAAGATGTTGTTGAATACCTGCCCACAGTCAATGCACCAGCTACAGAGTTGACTACAGTTTTTGAAATTCTTAACAGTCAGATCTAATCCGAAAGGAACTGTGTCTGGACACACTTGTGGTAGTCATGGATCAAGCACTCTATGCAAAAGCCGTTGAAATTGCCTGGAAGCACAAAGAGCGTTTTTCCCATGTGCTCTTGAGGATGGGAACATTCTACACTATCATGAATGCCCTGAGTATCATAGGAAAG